GGCAGCACCTCAGTGCCAGGAGCAGCAGGAACCACTTGTGGCATGGGCTGGGCTCCCTTGGCTTTCCAGATATCACAGACCTCCTTTGAGGACAGGTATGTTGGACACTTCATCTCTACAGGAGGCCACTTTTTATTTTTAGAAAACTGTTCAGTTGAATTACAGAATACATCTGGTTATGAATCCACTACTATTCTATGCCTAGCAATGTGTATACCTGGCAAAAATACCTGATACTGTTGTTTTTCCAAAACAGGTGAGTCAAAATTCTGGGGTTTTGGGTTTCTTGTCCAGGTGAAGAGAAAGGTGGAAATTGCTTTCAAGCCTTCTAAGAATACCAGTAGTCACTCCTGTTTTCCAGAAGCACTGAAGTCAGGAGAATTCTGTCAATATGGCAGCTTATAGGGCTGTTCCACTGCCAAGCAGTAAAGCTTACTGTCATTTTAAAAGCCTGTGTCAAGCATACTCAACCACTGGTGAGGAGCAACACATTTTGTTTCAAGTCATTGTGGCTTAAAGGTGAGAGTGCTAAAGCCCAGTGATGACCTGTGCTGCTGTTTGGCAAGTTTTGTTCAGTCCTCATTTTCAAGGAGGTAATTTAGGACAGTTGTTGACTAAGGAGGCTTGATTCTTGTATTGCCCAACAGGAGAGTAGTGCAAAATCCTCCTTCTTGGCGATCCTTGATATCAAACACTTTATCACAAAAATTCTCAGAAGGTAAATGGACACAACTGCATATACAATTGCAATTAATGTAAAGATAGTAGTAGTTGGTCCCCAAAAACTCCTTAGTTAAGGAAATTTGGATGCTTATATATAAAGGTAATCAAATATTTTAATATTAGTATATTTAGTATAGTGCTTTTTAATATTAGTATTATTGCTAGCTAGTTCTTCATTCACTTTGAAAAAAAATAGCATATTTATAAGAAATTTATCACTGCTGGACATACAGTGTAACTATAAATATTAAATTAAATGTGATATAAAATTCTTTCTCTCGTTTGATTACTGACAGCAGATGCTCAATGGTGTGAATGAATGTAATGCCATATGTCAGATAAGGCAATGCAGTATTTTTTCAGTGGAAGTAATAATATATCTTGCTTTACTTAATATCTTTCTAATGATAGCATATGGAGGGTCATATTGGTACCACAATATGGGGAAACTTGTAATTTGTAAAAACAAATTCATCTTCCTTCTGCTCTGAAAGTACAGCTGAGCTCTGAACACAACTAGCATAGAGGACAGACAAAAAAGAAATCTTTTTTTCCTTATTAATTTTGTTCTTGTGTTTTCATTTAGGGGATAGATCTTCATGGTGAATGGAAGCCCTTTCCTTTATTTTTGTCCCTGACCAAAAGAGGTTTAAGTTTCATTGGATTGGCCTTTTTGGCATTTCAGCCTCATTTTTACAAAAATGCTGGAATCACAACTACAGCTTTCTGGCAAACCTTCCCTTTTGATTTCACTGTTGTTTCCTCATGCAATTTGTTTACAAATCAGTTTCCACTCCACAAAATCTAGTAGAGTACAGAACTATCATTTCTGACATGTGTCAGTGTCACATTTATGAACTAGTATCTAGCAGCAATAGTGCTGCTATTATTTGAGTAACTGTTTCTCAAAAAACTCCAGAATCTATTTAGAAATTTAATCATGATTTTAGCAATGTATTTTGCCTAGTCTCCAGACTCCACTGAATTAAAACAGTAATTCTGACAAGGTGGAAATCAGTTTCTGAGTTCATTTTTAGGAGAAAATGATTCACAAACAGGATAGTGACAGGCTTTTATGATTGCAAGTTTCACATATTCTACTCCTTTGAAAGGGCTTATAGAGATTGATAGATCTACAAAGAAAGAAATGAAAAAATGAAAGGAAGAGATATAAATAGACATTTTCATTAGGATGAATGATGGAAGGTATTAACCCCACTACCATGGTGTACCCTTTACGTGTCTTTTTTTTATTTTTTTCATTCCTTTTGACCTCTTACCATCTTCCTTCTAAGTAAAAGTTAACTACAGTATGAAATGTAGGTAAGGTGAGCAATATCTGGAAATAAATGTTTCCTCAAGCATTATTACTGTTCAGAAAAGTGTCCATCAGCTGAAATGTCAGGCTCAAAATCCATTTAAGCACTGCACAGAGGCTAAACAGGCAGCTATTATTAATTTTTAAGTCTGCCTGATGGGTTTAAACCAAGAACTGGGGTTAACTCGATACACTGAATATTGCAGAGTGTATTTAATTAGTGGGGCTCTGACACTCAGATGGCTGAGGATTTATTCTCTGCAAACTACTGCTAAAATATGATGGAATAGCTGCATCTACCTAAGAAAAAGATCTACTGTGTCATATCAACATGCATAAAATTGGTCTTACTTGCAGGTTTTTGGACTTTTATCCTAATGTAAATACTGTCTGCTTTCAATCTGTTTTGAAGCACCACTGTCCTTACATCTGGAATAATTTTCTCTTCATTATGCTGCAAGTTAGCAATGTGAATTTCTCCAGAATAAGTCCTGTTCTTCTCAGCTAATTATCAAACCAAAACATTTTCTCACTGTGCCTTAAGCAGATGTTTCTTTATTCAAAACATATCTGTTTAACCCTAAGAAGGGGTTAACATCTATCTATATTGTATTTGTCTATATGCATAGAGGGCTCTAAAACACAAACAGGCACTAAGACACAAAGTAAGGTATTTGCTTTTGATACAGTTCAGAATCTTAGAAGGCAATAAAAAAGTAACAAATCAGAAATGGTTTTGTTCCAATGGTTGTAAAACCTCCTAGCTGCACCTGTGCTACTTCTTTGCTCCTCTTTTTCCTTCCTTTGTGCACTGCTCTTGCTCCTGCCCCAGGTCATTCTCTCCCAACCAAAAAAACCCATTCACATGAGAGTAGAAGATCAAATGTAAAGATACAAGTGAAACGGGAAATTTGTCCATTCCTAACAAAGGACAGTACACCATATTTTCCAGACAAGTGAGGTGATTTTCACTTGTAACAGAAGAACAAATTGTCATTGACAGTTCTGAAAGACAAGCAGAAAAAGATGAAAAACCTCCCATGAGGACTTGCATATGTAAACCACATATGCTCTGTAGCACATGACTGCAGCTTCCATGAACATGTATTCTTTGCTGGGAGTTCTGTCTTTCACACACACCTAAAACACCTAAAACCCAACAATAATATAACATATTTGTGTAAAAAGGGAAGAGTCTGTCTTCCCAGGTACAGATGCATCTGTTTGCATGTGGATGTGCATGTGACACATGATCATTCTTCAAAGACACTGTAGTGTGTGCCTTCCTCATCAGCCTGCAGGCCTCCCCTAACACCTGATGTAGCCTCCCTGTTCTGGGCATCTAGTTAGTAACTGGCTCATGAACAAAGTTTCCAGCTATCCCTATGAAGCCCTGGCTACTGCCATGACTCATGCAGCCGTGTGGAAAGGAGTAGTTGTCCTCATTTCACTGAGCAAAGGCTGTGTTTATACATCCCAAACCACACAGCCATCGTGCTGCTGTGCCATCTGCTGATACCCTGTGCTTCCAGCTCCTGCCTAACTGGAAGTGTCCAGCTTTCCCAGGAAGCATTTTCTGGGCTTTTCCTCCTTGAGCCCTACATATTATGCCTCTTCTCCAAGTGTTGATATTTCTCCTTTGCAGCACCCATCTTTATCCAGGCTCCTTTTGCCTTTCCACTGTACACTGTGTGCACACATGCTTATGGCTCCTTACCACTCAGTTTTATCTGAGAATCTCATTGATATTTTCCTCCTAATAAAAGCCTTTAAATGAAAGTGTTAAAATAGATTTGATACTAATGTCTGTTGTATTAGGACGGAGAACTGAATATTGTACCATTTTTAGCAATGGACAAATATTTTGTTTATAGCCCTTCACACTCTTTTCAATGAAACAATCTACTTTTCCATCACAGACATGAATTACTTGAATTATGTTTTCAGTAAGATTTTCCAGGTATTATCAAATACTTTCCTGTACACTAAATTAATTTTTCCTATGATATTCACCCAGTAGACCTATTCTGTGAAGAAACAAAACAACTGTGTAAAGATATATGAATAAAAGTTTATAAATAAATATTTGGTTGCATGTTATTTATCCTATAACCAAAAAATACTGTTGACATTCATTCTTCTTTTTCCCCTAGAGAGAGCTATTTTACTGTTTACCTCCTTATAAATGAGTGGAAGTAATTTAAATGATCATACATTGTCCCTTTTTTAATTTGTTCTTGTATTTGCTCCTCTGCTCATCCAATATTTTTCCATTCTCTCTACTGCTTTTACCAATGGTTATATGCATGACATCCTCAGGCAATTCCCACAACCACTTTTCACACAGCATCCTACCAAAATTTTCGATTTTTCGAATACCCTCTTAATGACTTTTTGAGAAATACTTTCTAAAGATGTGCACTTTCAGAACAATATGAGTATGTACATAAGGGTTTCATTGACAAAATGAAGTTATGAATATAGGGTCAGTATTTTAAATACATGGTCTAGGTGCCTGTGAGCATAGATCAGGTTCACCTAATTACTGATCAGAGTGATACTGCACGCTGTAAATGGCTCAGTCTGTCCTCTCCAATAATTTTACTGATGACAAACAAGTTGTGGGAAAACAGTTTAAGAGGCTTCAGGAGCTTTGATTCAAATGTAAATTTACATACATAAAGACATACATATATATCTATACGTATGCCACATGGATCACATAATTTTCATCACTGTGACTCATGTAAGAGGTTCACAAATCTCTATGAAGAAGTTCAGAAAGTGCAATCCTACCTCGACAACTTGTTAGTACCTAAATATGTCTTCAAGCATAATTGGGTGTGTACATGAATGCCAGGTTCTGCCATTTTTCAAACTTTGTTCTTTGCCTTGGTAGTTCAATGCGAGACTAAGCCTCAGCCCAGGTACCTTGGCTCCAGAGATGGTGAGGTGTGTATCAGTACTTACAGCTGTCCTCCTCCTCCATGAAAATACTGATCACATAACAGGCATACACAAATCCAACCAGCTGTGTGAAAAAAGAGGAAAAGCCAACATTAGAACACATGGAACACATACAGAGCTTTTACTACAATGATATACAGGTATCACAGCTAAATTTTTAAGATACTTACTTTTTCCTATTATTGTTTCCCACATTTACAGATTTCAGTGCAAATGGTCACAAACAGCTAAAATAATTTTCTCTCTTTTGCTCAAGTTGCATAACATATATTTTATATATAAATATTTATTTTATAGTTTAAAATATTTCCCAGTCCCAGTGGGATCCATATTGATGAATACTGCTTTTAATACTTGTGGGAAATAGCTGTACCCTGATGTTCAGCTGTTATTTATATTTCTTTGTTCTTCAATACCTCTGTTCTCACATAGCTTTTCCCACACGGATGCAGGCCCCCTATGCACCTCTATGCTTACTAAAATGTCAAAATATTTATTGACTGCTACAGAATTAAGTCATAGTAACACTTCTGTGGAATCCACAAGAGTTGTCTTTTGGTGCTGCATGAAGTGTCCCAGTGAAGAACTCTTAGGCAAAATTTTAAATTGATAGGTGAATTGTCACCATGCAACTGGACAGTAAAACTGGGTTATGATTCATTGACATCAGGAAACACCTTATCAATAGTTCGTGTTAACTATGCAGGAAATGAACAGTAGCATTTCTCCAAAGAACAAAAACAGTCAAACCATGCCATTATTTTAACAGCAGCCCCCACAAAAACATCCTCCTTAACCCAGATCTGTGTCACTTGTGCCACCAAAAGGAAGGGATTGAGATCTTTAGGATCAAGAAATAGAAACGCCACTCATTCCTTATCCATATAGACAAAATATTTTCTTATGGCCATGACCAAAGATGAAGAAAATCCCACTGGGCAAGGAAACCTATTAAACTGCACAGCCAGACATGTCCAATCTTGAGAAAATATTGTTTGTGCAGCTGTACACAATTCATGCTATCTGAAAGCCTTGAAAAGACTCTTCATGAGAGATTTCAAAAATAGCTCAGAGATTAGTTTTAAGAACACTCCTTTTTCTCTGGTCCATTCAAAAAATCTAATTAAAATAGTTATTCTAAGGATGTCACGGATCAGCCATCTGAGAAAAAGGTAATTTAATAGTATCTAGACAGGTATAAGCTCCTTCAGAAGCAGAGAAATCATTCCAACCTGCTTTCTGGTTGGGCTGCACGAGGAGCTTTACAAGCAGCTCCAAAAGCCTCTCTGCAGACAAAAAAGCTTGTCCACACAAGGGAGTTCAGGGAATGCAAGATGAATTAACTAAAGCTGTGAAATCAATGCACATAAGATAAAGTACATTAAATCCCTGTGTGGCCTTCCCCATTCAGAAATAAAGTGGCCCTAGTTCACTGCAGTTTAATCCTTCTCCAAGGGATTAATCTTCCCACAGAGAATTAATCTACAGTACGCTGAAGCTGAGCTACTTGTGAATGAGGGCTGTCACAGCACTGTGGCACTGTCCCACTGGAGCTTCCTCTCCATGGCATCCACCTCACTGGTGTTTTGACAAAGTGACTTTAATCCAACTTTTCTCTCATTCTGAGCAGACTACAGCATCAGCAGCTTCCCTGACTGCTTTTTGGTGTCCAGTTTATGCGTGGTATTGCCACATCCTCTCTCAGGTGAGCAGCACTTTGTGCATCAGCACTTTGTTGCACTGATGCTCTGAGGCAGCTGAATGCAATCCAGCTCTGCAGGAGGTGCTTGCTGGATGTGGCCAGGACAGATCCATGCCTGAGCTGCCCATCCCCATGTGCCTGGTGCCAGAGAGGCTGCAGCAGGATGGACCCACAGACACGCAGGGCTGGCTGGGTCACTGTGTGCTCGCTTCACCTGCTGAGAGTTGTGTGGGTCACTTGGAGCAGTCCAGCCCCTGCTATTAATGACAAAGGGATCTAACAGTTCTGCTGCCAGCACATCCAGGGCCAGCATTGGCTTACAGACTCCTTGACAGCTTAAGCACATTTTTTCCTTAAACTTCACAGTTTAGAGCACCTTTCAGGCATGACAACTAAAACAATAAAATATAAAGGCTTCCAAGAGATCAAAAGACAAATCCTGAGATGCAGTGCTTGTGCCACCTGAAGGTTACATATAATTAAAAAATAGTGCCTTTGTACCACAGAAAAATCAGAAAATGGGTGATTTTTCATAACAGGATGTCAACTGTTTATTTTCAATGTTTCCTGATCACCATTTGTGTTGTGCAATTTGGCTATATAAGTCACTTGGGTTTGTTTCCTCTTCTTAAACATGACTAAAATATTTTGAAGAGTAAAACTGCTGAACAGATAATGAAAATGATAGAAGTGAATTGTAGGGTGACTGTGGGTTAAGTGTTTGTGAAGGAAGATCAAATACTAGAATTATTCACTCTTTCCCCATCATGCAATTATTTTTTCTTATTAGTAGTATTCTGTATTAAATTAATTTTATTTTTATAAATGCAGTTCTTTCTTTATATGTACATGTGTGCTCTATATCCATGCATATTATATAAAACATGTCTCTGTAAGTGCTTCCAGCAGATTTCTCAAATATCAAAGATGTTGGACAAGTGGATAAAGCACAGCAAGACTTCCACTCTAACAAGTAATAAATGACCTGACACAGAGAAAGCAATAGGCAAAAGTGCTCAAAAAAGTCTTCCAAAAATGTGGGTCATGACAAGCCTGAGTTTTAACAGTCTTAAGAGCTTTCATCCTGCTCTTCCAGTAGACCTTCTCCTTAATCTTTTCCCACTCACTTCCATGCTTGAAACACACTTTGCCTAATCTATGACCTTCTTTAAAAATCAGCAACCTTTCTCTACTTCTCAGAAATATGTTTCTTTATATTCCTCAGCATTAGAAATCACTGGTAGCTGTTGTATTTATGATGTATAGTTTAAAACACACCATTTTCCCCATCTGTTTAGTTATTAATACCAGGAGAAATAATATATATATATTCACCCTCTTTCAATTTTGTGGTATTTTCAAGGGGGAAAAAAAAAAAAAGAGGTGACTAACCATAACCCTCCATAATCCAATAATATCTTTCTGTAGTTAAATGTCAGAATGCATGTTTCTGAGAGAATAAAGCAACGAGGAGAAAAAAGAGCCCTTTAGCATCAATTGTCAGGTGTTGCTGCTCAGGGGGTCAGCAAGGCTTGGCTTGTGACTAACAAACAAGTAGTTATAGTTGGGTACCTGATATCTACAGCACCATTAACAAGAAGTGATGAAGTGGGAATATACCCTTTGACAGATGAGACCTGTTTCCAGGTCCTTAAACAGAGTTACAGCCACCATTGTGTGAATATTTTTGTAAACGAATTAATTAAATCCTCTTATTTTGTGCTACTGATGGACATGCTAATAAAATATTTATTCCAACAAATTACTTTTGGTATCTTGATTAACGCAGCTGCTGTTTAATTAATAGTGTTATGCTCATATGAACCCATCTAGCCATCTTGCTAATTGCCAGTCTTGGTACAGGAAATGTAGGCTACTGGCCCAGCACCAAGTGATAGACTGAAATGTGTGTTCCCTGATAACTAAAGCAAATATGTTGCATATGAGCTGGAAGATTCTTAATTTGGTCATCTTCAGTTTCAGTATTCATTAAAGGGACCAATGAAGGGGCTGGAACAGGATGTCCAATGCATCAAAGATCACTAGCACCTGAAAGTATAAATAGAAGCCTCTGGCTTGATCCAGAGAGAAAAAGACAGCCAGGAGTTCTTGTCCCAAAAACATTGAGTTCAAGGCATAGAAACCTTCTGGGATCCCTGCACTATACAAGACTGTCTTACCAGGAGAGCCCAGTCTAGTTAATTGTCTCAGAAGACACATGTCAGTGCCATTCTGCAGAAAATCAGGTGGGAAAGTGTGGGTAGAGGCTGCTGTTCCCAGCCTTCATCCATCTATACAGTGGTTAGGGTATACATCTTTCTCTAGAGAGAATAAGCAATACATAAAATACTCAGCTATTTCAGTGAAGCAGAGAATAGTTTTGGTTGGAAGGGACTTTAAAACTCCTCTGGTTCAACCTCCCTGCTGTGGGCAGGAACATCTTTCACTAGGCCAGGTTTCTCAAATTTCATCCAGCCTGTCCTTGAACACTTACAGGTATGGGGCATCCACAGTTGCTCCTGGCATCCTGCTCAAGTGCCTCACCATCCTCACTGTAAAAAAATGTCTTCTTTATGTTCAATCTTATCTATGCTCTTTCAATTTACAACTCTTACCCTTTGCCCTCTCACCACAGACCATGGTAAAAAGCCTCTTTCTATATTTCTTAGAAGTCCCCTTTATAAATTGAAAGCCCAAAATAAATTTTAAATAGCCCCAACTCTCTCAGCCCTCCAAATATTCTCATGGCCCTCCAAGTGGAATATCATGAAAGCAGAGTAGAGGGGTAGAATCACCTCCCTTACCTGCTGGTTACACTTGTTGTGATGCAGCCAAGGGTACAACTGGCTTTCTGGACTGAAAGTGCACTTTGCTGACTCATTTTAAGCTTGTCATCAACCGTGATCCTCAAGTTCTTCTCAGCAGGGCTCTTTTCATGCCATTCATTCCTCAGCCTGGTACTGTGGATTGCCCTGAGGCAGGTGCAAGACCTTGCACGTGGCCTTTTTGAACCTCATGTGATTCACATGGGCCCACTCCTTGAGCCTGCCAGGGTCCCTCTGTGTGGCATCTCTCCCCTCAAGCCCACCAACAGCACCACTCAGCTTGGTGCCACCAGCAAATCTGCTGAGGGTGCACCCAATACTGCATTAATTACCCTCAGTAATGAAGGCATGAAATAACACCAGTCCCATTGTGGGCTCCCGAGTGATACCACCTGTCATTGAATATTGAGCCATAGTTCTTTGGACATGACCATACAGCATTTTTAGACCCATCAGAACTTTCCCACCAAAAACCTTATTTCTTCAATGACTAGCTGATAAGAGTTGCTGAATTCTCCAAGTCATAGTGAAGGATAG